GAGAGAGAGAGAGAGAAAGAGAAAAAGAGCGAGTTGTGAGAAGGGAGAGGGCGGCTAAAAACCGTCGATAATAAATTATTAAATGAATATTATTCCGTAAATTATATATAAATAACCACGCGTTGTGGCGCCATTGTGTACATACATTGTATATAGGTATACATCGTTCCCTTGATAATGTTACGTATATAAGTATGATAGAGCCGTTATACATGATTAGAATTAAAAGAAATCATAAAGCATAAATGGGACACTGCAATATACCTGATTATGAGTTTAATTAGTGAATTTTAGGAGCGAGTAAGATGTATATCTGCAAACGACGATTCGTGATAGTGATAGTGAGGTGCGTGAGACTAAATTAGGAGCGCGTGTGTAAACCGACTTAATACAGTGTATAGAAAAGCTAAAATAAATGGAAATTATTGAACGGACATTAAACTGATTGAAACTGTTTCTATTAACTTCTTCAACCATTATTTCTTCCTTTCGGTTCTCTCACACTGACGCACGTGATAAGTGAAGATATCGGTAAAACTTGCAAACAACTTATTATCTTTCTTTTAAAAGTAAGAAATTTACACCGATTACTAAATAATCTATAATTTTTTTTTTCCACAAAAGAAGTTGCAGAATAACAAAACATTACACGAAATTTGCGCTATTTTTTTCTCGGATCGCTCTAACGAGAAATTTACATTTTATTAACTTCTTTAATCATTATCCCTCTCTTTTCAATTTTCTTACGAGCTAACTATTTAAGCACGAAGATACAAGTAAAGCTTGCGAAATACTTACTACTTTCAGTTTTAAAAATAAGAAATTTACACCGATTATTAAAATATAATCTTTTTTCACAAAAGAAGGCGCAGAATAATAAAACATTACACGAAATTTGTGCTATTCTTTCTCGGATCGCTTTGACGAGGGGGTTTTCATTTTATTGCGCTTTGCGTAATATCGCGCGTAAAAAAGGCTCGACGTGCACGAGCAAGGAGCCACAGACGCGCAGTACACACAGAGATGAAAAGGAATTATTCTCCAAAAATAGCGTGTAACCGCGTTGCGGCCCTTCTCGGAATCTTTTTGAAGCTATTCGCAAGGTTTACCCAGAGGCGTAATTTATTAAGATGAAGTCATTTCGCGGGCCTTTTCCTCGTTGTATCCGCTCGTAATCCGGAGTCTGGCACTCATCATAACCGAATGCTTTTGCTAGACGATAGATTAGAACTTCGAGACTGCGGAATATCGCTGAAAATCTGTTGCGACAACTACACTCGGAATATTTCTTCATTTTTTTTCAGGTAAACTAAATATAAACTAAAAATCACATATATAAATATATTGATGTTGAAAAAACGCTTGGCTATAGAAATTTATTAAAGCCCAATTTTTTTCTTTAACGATATAATTTTATGAGTAATTATTCTATTCTACATCTTACTAAAACAATGTAAGATTTGTTAAAGTAAAATCCATCAAAGTTTCCTTATTTAATCCAAATTTCCAAATTTCCAAAAGCTTTTAGAAAGCTTGTAGCTTTTAGAATTGCATTAATTATGAAAAAAAGGCAGCAGAGATGTGTTATGATCTAAAAATGGACCGTTTAGCAAACATTAGCGTTAGAGAAAGCGTTCCAATATTTCAGAAATATTAAGTATCATAAACTGCACACTTGCAAAAGCCGCTGGGCCCTTATTAGAAATGAGCACCCAGGTACACCCGAGAGGAGCATATAATTAGCATATACTTAACGCGCGCAACACACGCACTCACATCCGTTACAAACATTTTAGATTCGATTAATCTATTGCGCTGGCAGTAGCACGCGTTTTGTATCAAAGATAATGACGACAGGTTAATGATAGACTCATTAACGAGACCTCATATCAAACGGTTCCGTTTAGCATCAGATATTCAAGTAACAGGAAGCAGGTTGGTAATGTCGAGCTATCTGCTCGTATATCATGCATTGCAAGATTCATCGCTGATATGTGATTAGCCGTGCTCTATTTATAGCACAGCTTGTACATTATGTGAAAAAATATTTCCAACCTTCGTCGCGATTTATATACCTACCTTATATAAATTTTTCAGCCTGCGCGGATTTGCGAAAATTCCCAAATATCCGGCACTTTAAGAGATCGACTGTTTATTGCGCTCGTTATGGTAGGCCTGATCGGCACATGCGATCATCGCAAAGCGAAGGCATCGATAATTCAAAGATTCACAGATAAAAAAAAACTGTTTAGGTTTAAGCGAACAAAAACGCTTATAGTGTAAAAGTGTCAAATCGAGAGATGATCAAGCGCGTAAAATGCAAGTAGGAATTTCTTGTTTTATAGAATATCGTCTTATGACAACACACAGAACGGAATAATGCGACTTTTTTGCACGCACTTGAACGAATCGGAGGAGGTTCGTAGCCATTGCTGATATCAACGGGCCTCATATATGAAGCAGTAAGCAAGGTAGCTCATACCGCCCTGTAATTCAGACGCCGCAACATCCAAATAAAGAATTTCATAATGGCGATGATGACCACCGCCAATTTTCTCGATATATCCGATACACCAATAATTCAGGTGATCTCCGATCGGAATGAGCATGCGATATCATTCATTGCCCTCCTCCCTCTCTCTTCCTCCTTCTCCCCCTCCCTCCAACTCTCGAGTGCGGTAAACGCGAGAGTCTCGCATGAAATCGCGCGAATAACGCGTGACACTAACGAATAACATTTTAATTGCAATAATCCTAATAGTCACACATTTATATCTCGTAAAGTTTATTATCGCGATTGTAATATATAGCACCACTCTTGGCATATTGGACGTAATTAATTTACGGTTCGCTTAACATCGCGAGACCGAGACTCTTAAATATTTTCGATATATTACTCGTAATTAAATAGCATTGCGAAACGGTCCTCGTTAAATGTGCAGAGATCGAGTTTACTCAATGTCTTACATTACCGACAGACTGCACGCGAAATGAATGTTATTACTCACCAGATTATCGAAATATTAATTTCGTGGTAATTATTGGTCGGTTGGCAGCAGTCAAACTGCCCTCGTTTACTCACCGAGCCCTGAAGGAAAACCTCCGAAAATTGGTCCGATTAAAAAAACATGTCTCTTCATTTCGCTCAATTGAATTTCGCAAATTTTCTCCTCGACAATTCCGTATATAATATAAACGACAAGTAGCAATTATTCGAAAAAAACACAAATTTCCAACTAAAGAGTCATCGAAGGAACTTATTATGGCTTTTTAGTAATGTCGTTTCATGCGCCGCCCTACATATCACAAAAAATAATAAAAAAATATATAAATAAATACTGTATGAAAATTGTAAGATCGCCGAAACATCATTCCGAAGCGAACGATCGTCCCTCTCTAGCCTTCTGCAACAGCTAACGACTTGTTCCCGGTCATCCAAAATGACGGGAATGACAGGCCATCGATGATAAATGCTGGGTTCGTCAGATATTAGAATTTTCTACGGTAACACGTCTGCGCTCTAAAATATATAAACCTCTCGCGAGATGTACCATATACCGGAATGACCTCCTCGAACACGGTCTGCGCTCGTCTCACGCCACGCTAATCTGTCTCTAGTCTAGCGAAGCTACATCGTCGCACGTGTCGGCGACCGCTACCGATCGCCCGGGAAAGATTCGAGTGTGCGAGCGCGTGCGAGCGGCGGGCGCATTTAGCTCCAGCCGTTGTTTTGCATAACCCCGGAGCCAGGAGATATCCTCGCGGAGCTCATTTTCCCGGCATTGACACGCCCACGTAATTCGGACTCATTTACTCGTTGACTCGCTTAACCCGCCAGCCAGTCATGCGTCAGTCAGACCGGCGCGCGCGAAGCGCCGCAGATCCATAATTTCGATTCGAAACCGTGTTTCAGCACGCGAGAAACGAGCCCCTCCTCCCCTTTCCCCCCGCTCGAATGTAATTAGACGTGGATCTAGGCCCCGGCCCATCAGCGGGCCTCGTTAATGCGATATCTCGACCCTCGCAACGGCGAGCCGCCGATCCTAGCACGCCGATCCTCCCGCCCGTCCCCGCTTCTATTTCGTTCGTTGTTTCCTTCCCCCCCTCCCCGCTCTTTTTTTTCTTCCTTTTTTATATTCCTCATAGACTGACTTCTTTCACGTGGCCTGATCCTCTACCTGTGCGCGATCTTTCATCTCGTCTTCGCCAACGAGGTCCATTTACACGGCGGGAGGACTTCTTTCGGGAGGACTAGCCGCGCTACGGCTCCAGCTTAACGAGAGCTCGTAGCCCCGACGATGGAAGATTAATATGTGGGAGTGTTTAGGCGAGAATGGGTGGGGGATCGAGACGATATATTATTCGCGCGGTTGGAGAGTCTCGCAACGCAAAACGTTACCTCGGTTAGATAACAGATGATGAGTGAATATATAAACGGAATTTTTATAATTTATGCTCTTAACAGAGTAATGAGTGTAGCGCGCGTGATAATGAATAAACATATACGTTATACGTTTTGACGATGATGCGGTTTGCGCAAAACAAAATTCAAAGGGAACGCAAAAGGAACGCGAATAATTCCAACAATATTTTTATAATTAGCAAAGGAATTCTGTTTGTATTAGTTAATAAATAGGAAATGTAGGGGAAAAGTCAAAACGAGTAAGTAGAACGGTTAAAGAAATATTTAATTAGAAGAAGAATAATATCAATATATTATTAAAATTATCTACTAACTACAATGATGATACTTTTGTAAGTTGATGAGTCCTAAGTCTCCTGACGAGTTACGATGAGAAAATATAACTTTCCTGTTTCTCTACGTTGTGAGACGTTACCTCGTTCGATTCTGTCTAAATGTGCCT